TCTATGAAACGGCGTCACAAGAGGAAATGGCAGGAATAATAGACGGACTGTTCCCGACGGAGATGGGCGAACTGATCAACAGACCCCACTTGCCCGTATTATGGGATGAGGACTTTGCTGTATCGGTCAAAGAAGTGGAATGGGCAGCCTCTAAGCTGAGACGGTCTGGTAAGGCCCCGGGACCAGATGGAATATGGGGGGGGGTTATAAAACTCGCCCTCCCAGAATGCGCGGAATTTCTTGCCCTGTGCTTCACAAGGTGTCTACGCGAAGGCATCTTCCCGAAGTGCTGGAAGAATGCGAGGTTGGTCCTACTTAAAAAGCCCGACAAACCAGATCTAAGGCCCTCGTCGTACAGGCCGATCTGCTTATTGAGCGAAACAGGCAAGATGTTTGAAAGGATAATAGTCCGCAGGATCAGAACTAGCGTTGCCGAGGGGGTAGGCCTTTCAGAGCTTCAGTATGGGTTTAGGGCCAAGCGCTCGACTGTGGATGCGGTACTTAAGCTCAGAGAACTTCTGGACCCAGTATATAGCGAGGGACGAGTGGCTGTGGCGGTATCTCTAGATATTTCAAACGCCTTTAACTCGCTGCCATGGAAGAGGATACGGCAAGCGTTGGAGGACAAAGAAGTGCCCAATTACCTCCGAAGGATTACAGACAGCTACCTTTCGGATAGGTACATCTGCTATGTGGACGGTGAAGGCCGAATGGTGAGTAAACAGATGACATGCGGGGTACCACAGGGCTCGGCGTACGGTCCTGAGGCATGGAATCTCGCCTACGATGAGGTTCTTCACATCGAAATATCGGAGGACATCTTCATAATGTGCTACGCCGATGACACCCTGGTGGTGGCTCTTGGGAGCAACCTAATAGAGGCCAAGGCCCGTGCGGAACTGGGCGTCGCCTGTGTTATCAGGAAAATTGAGAGCCTGGGTCTTAGAGTGTCCCCAACCAAGACGATGGCGGGCGCGTTCTCGGGCGCGCATAGATTCGTCCGCAACGATGTAATCCTGGTGAAGGATTCGGCAATCCCTCTGAATCCGAACATCAAATACCTGGGACTCCTACTGAGCCGGCGGTGGAGATTCAGAGAGCACTTTTCTGCGTTGTTGCCTAGGGCTGAGAAGGCAGCCATGGCCTTGTCGAGACTTATGCCCAACCTACGCGGCCCCAAGGAGGGCGCGAGGAGGCTGTATTGCGCCGTGGTGCAATCTATCATTTTTTACGGGGCCCCTGTCTGGGCACCTACGTTGGCGGAAGATCGCAGAGTGGGCGCTGAGATTCGCGCTGTACAAAGAAGGATAGCCCTAAGGGTTATCGCTGCTTACCGTACAGTCTCGTACCCCGCGGCCTTTTTACTGGCAAGAATGCTTCCGGCAGAACTGCAGGCAAACAGATTGAGGCAGGTGTTCCTGGATACCCGCGCACTCCAGGACGAAGATATTCCTATAACCAACAGGATGAAGCAGCGTATCCGAGAAAGGGCACTGGAAGATGCCATTGCTGGATTAAAAACGCAATACAGCAGGCGAGACAATACAGCTGTTGAGATCAAGGCGGCGATAATTCCGAGGTTGTCCAATTGGTTTGGTAGAGCCCATGGGCATTTAACTTTTAGAGTAACCCAAATGTTGACTGGGCACGGGGTATTCAATGTATATTTGCGACGTATCGGTAAAGCCCCGCGAGAGACGTGCTCCTTCTGTGATGCACCCCGGGATTCTAATACGCACACCCTGGCTGAATGTCCCGCCTGGGACATAGACAGGGTTGAGCTGTCGGAAAAAATAGGTAGGGATCTCAGCTTAGGAGCGGTTGTTTCTGCCATACTCGAATCACCCGAGAAATGGAAGGCATTTAGCAGTTTCTGTGAAAAAGTAATGTTCCGCAAAGAGGAGGAGGAAAGGGCCAGAGAGGCCCTTCGAGCGGAGATGAATTTGACTGAGGTAGAGTCTGAGGGTGAAGACTATTACTA